GCCTCCTGACAGGACGAGGAACCACATTTGAGGCTGCAGTTCTTTTTTTCTGGCAGATTTCACAGCCTGAAAAAACATTATTGCATACGCATCCCAGACGGAAGCAGGAATCACCTTTTAACATCCGTGGATGGGGGCGCGGTCAGGTCTAAGATGAAGTGTGAAGCTGTAGATCAGGAGAGAGAAGGCAGTCTACAGGGACATAACGTGCTGAGTAATACAGGGGAAACTGACCTTAGATGACCCAGGAGGCAGCCGGACTAGGATTAGAAAGCGCTGAGGCAGCATTCCTCCGTCGGCATCACTGAGCGGACTGCCAGGTGGGAGTGCAAGTTCAACACGGTTAGAAAAGTCTTCCTCGCTGCTCCGGCAAAACCCCGTGCCTCTTATCAGAAGTTGCTCTTGCTCCCCTGTGCATTGCTGTACAGAGGTAACTTGTGGTTGCTGTGAAGCTGAACACTGTGACACTGGTGTGTCAAATGCGATAATGGTTACTCAGGGTGGACAGTGTTTGGTGGAGCTCCCCGATTAAAACAAGCTTGGAAGCAGGAGTGGCATCCACTTCTGAAATGGCTTGCCTCTGGAAAACTCTGTGAATAAGTGCTCAGGTCTTTCGTTCATAAGGTCGCTGTGAGTCGTCTGTGACTCGACAGCACCTAACAACAATTGATATTTGAGGGGACAGTCTACCCCAGAAGCTGAATGCAGTAGCCCCATTTCTAAGGACTGTCCAGTGTCCATTCTTCCTGCCCTAGATAAACTTGTCATGCCCTGTGGAGCCCTGCCTGGTGGCACAGTGCTGCTGAGAGGAAAGCGTTCAAATCCAGCCCCTCTTCAGTGGAAAGGGCAGTTTCCTCCTGTGACGATTTAGGGCCCTGGCAACACCCTGAGCAGCTCTCAGGAGCTGAACGGCTCAGCGGCACCGCGTGGGACTTGGGGTGGGGCTGTTCCCCAGCCAAGGAAGAAGTGCTGAAGACATTTGGGGGTTCATACAGGGCATGGGAAATATAAGAGAACCTCGACACTAAACCAAACCCAAACCAGGCTCCCACACAGCACCCCTGCCCCGCAGTGTATCAGCCTGAGCAGCAGCCCGTCAACTGGAACCCCCGCCTGACCTAGTTCACCCCACGCATGCTGGACGTGTGGGGGCCACAGTGGCCTTTGTACTGGGTGGTTTAAATGACAGGAGGGCAGGGAACATGGAAATGAGGAAGGCACACAGGGCATTGCGTGGTGTGACCCTGTCCAGTTTATTTTAGCAAGCTACTCCTTCCCAGCACGGGATCACCTTGGAATTTGACTTTATTAGGTCAGTTTGTGATGTTCATGGCTTTCCATAAACTTTTATGAATAGATTGTGGAGTAAACGTTTCTGTTCCAAAGAACTGAAGCCAATTCCAGAAGCCAGTGGAGCCCTGCCAGTCAAGGGCCTCAGAGGGCCAATGTCCAGCTTGAACTCAACCGTCTCTCTCTCAACTTTGAAGGTGACTTGCCACCCACTTCCGCAAGGTCCCAAACCAACCCTCCAGCCCACAGCCATCTGATTCACACTGACCTCCATGGCTGTAAATCACTACAGCCTTGGAGAGGCTGGTGGATTTGAACTGCCCACTTTTCAGCTTTGTGACATGTTACATCTCTGGGGCTCCCGTCTGTCCCAAGGTAGAGTGGGATGCGAGCCATGGCTGTTGCAGGCTGGCAGTGGCTGGGATGCACCCCGCTGCTGCTGCCCCTCCTCCTACCCAGCATTCCATGGTATCTCTTAGGCTGCCCCGAAGAGTCACTAGGGATTCATTCAGTTCTCAGAACCAAACCCACTGCTGTCAAGCAGACACCAAACCAGCATCTCTGAGATGAAGCAGACATGCCCGCAGTGTGGGTAGTGGGTTTGAACCGCAGATGCTGGAACCTGAGCCCCAGACGTGCCCAGTGGTCCTCAACACGGTGTGAGCAGGCGCCGGTGTGACCTGTGGAGAGCCAGCTGGCTGAGGACAAGGCTACCCTGGAAATCTGTGGTGTTGGCTTTACAACAGTGTTGAGAAGTATGCACTGCCTGGGACTGAGAGGTGGCCAAGTGCTAGCCGGAGGTTCAGGGTCAGAAGATCAGGGAGGGGCCCAGAGTTTACACCTCCAGCGACTCCCTCCACCAGATCATCTAATGTCCTGCCAGCTGCTGACCTGGCCAGGCCTGTCCCTTCTAGGTCACACCACTAGAGCCCTCCAGCTGGCGCCTCCTCATGGTGACCCTGTGTCAGAGCACGGGATTCTCACGTGGCAATGTGGACAGGACTCCAAAAGGCCCGTACCACGTGATGGACACCTTCATGGCGTTTTCCTGGATCACCTACACAGTAAACCTGGACACTCATGTCAGTCATGGGCTTTCCCTGCCTTTTGGTCTAGAGGTCCTGAGGGAGCTCAGAGCTGGGTCTGTGACAGGTGTACACCCAACACTACCCACACTGCCCGGGGCTGGCCTGTACACACAGAGCCCTCCGTGGGCCTGGCTCCCACCTCCCAGGGGCCCTCTCAGGAAGGACAGTGGCACATGGGGATTCTGTTCACTCTCCATTTATTCACATTTCATGGGTTGTTACACTTCCTCTGGGACAGTCACACTCGTACAGGGATTAGACTGTTTACACTTCAAGTAGCTTTTATTGAAACCATTTCCTCTTTGAAACAAAAGCAGTTTGATGGCTGACCAGTCTGGCCTGGCAGCTGTACCCGCCCTGAAAGTCCCAGGAGAAGGGACTGGCCGGCCTGGGCGTGGGTGTCCTTGTAGCGGCACTGGAAGAACTGATAGGTGGTCATGGCCTTGTCACTTCTGGCTTCACAGGGCGGAGCTGCATCCCTCTGAGACCCCCAATTCTGGAGTCAAATCCGCAAGGGCAAGGTGGAGAGCTGCTGTTTGCAGTTTTGGGTGCATTATGCTGTGTTCTGGCGCTTCTGCAACACTCCAGTAACTGACAAGTGCTACAATGTACAAAAGGAGACCCGAGGTACAGACCACCTGCTCACCTGGCAGAGGTGCGAAGGCACCAGGGCGGGAAGGCGTGTGAGGAGACCAGCTCAGAACAGGAGCCTGTTTTTGGCATGCAGCATGTAAAAAATACGGCTGAGAACGGACATGGCAGAACCATCTTCTAAACAAAGTCGGTCCATCAATGGACTTGCCTCCCATGGGGACCATCGGACAGCTCCGAGAACCGGACACACTCCAACCGTCGATTCTCTAACAGTACAGAGGACTATTTTTTGCTTACTGGGAATGCTCAAAAGGGTAAAATGGACACATGTCAGTTTTGCTTCGCTTTTTAAAGGCCACTTGAGTAACTTGGTGTTTGCTAAGATTCAGCATTAAACATAGACACTTGTTGAGGATGCATTTCACACAGATGGTCAAACTGAACATGGAGGACAGGCCCATGCCACACTAGATTAAGCCACATTTTTAAGCAGAATTTCTACTACTTTGGGTTTTGCTTAAAAAAAAAAAATTTAAATCCTCATGGGTCAGAATTTAATGTGGATTTCTGGGCTCAGTGTATGGCTCTGGGCTGACCTGCCCGAGGGACATAGGACCAAAGGTCACAGGGCACTGTGGACATCACCACGGAGCCTCCAGGCGTAAGCAGACATGACTGGATTTAAGACAAGAATCACATCTGGGTGATGGTACACAGAGCACACTCTCCCCGCAATTCTCACTTAACAGTGACAGTCTTGTAGCAGCAGAAATGTGCTGGGAATGTTAGGAAAGAAGGAAAAAGAAAAAAATTCAAGTCACACACATCCATGAATGCCAAAGTGGAGGCAGGGATGTCCTACAGGCCTGAGCCGGGCAGTCGCGTCTGCGCTGTCCTTGCACACAGGTCCACGGGCGCAACGAGGGGCGGGCTGATGCCACTGCCTGTCCAGGTGAACACGCCCGGGGTGAAGGGGAGGCAGGCCCCATGCTGCTCATGCTAGATCTTTTGTAGAAAATACCCCCGGACATGCTCAGTTCTGACAGAGACCTGTGGGAAGGGCCACCACCTGCCCCTGGGTCACACGGTACGGCCACATCCTCCAGAGACCTCACTACATCAGCTGGCTGCCTCATTTAGGCTAGCACATCTGGTTACCAGTCTGCTTCTGCCACCTCCGTGTCAAGTGCGGCGTTCAACTTTCTTAAATGACCCCAGTGCAGGCGCCTACAAGAGGTGTTCCTGTGTGTGCCCAGTGACCCTGGGGCCCCTGCACACCTCACCTCAGAGGCAGCCCCTTCACAGCGGTCTGGGCGACTATCTGGCCTCTTTGACTCTGACTACTCCTGCTGAAGATTTATACGTCCCATGGTCTAGAAACCATATGCTGGCAACTGTGTGCTTTCAAACCTGACACCTGGCCTGGCCACCCTTGTCAAACCAAACCACAAACTAAACCCCAAGCCGGTGAACCATGGCAGCCCCTAGGTCCCCCATGAGCAGCTCCCAGGCCCGACTCTGCACGGCCACAGGGGTTAAAGGCCCCGCCTGCAAACAGCTCCCCAAGTGAAAAGCTAGCCAGCCGAGAAGAGAAGCACACACAGCTATCCTTTGGCGACCGCACTGCAATCCCAGGAGAGGCTCGAGGAGGGCACTGGCCCAGGTGGCCAACCTCGCTCTGGACACAGAACTGCACAGGGACACTGCCTATGGGGGCAGCAGACACAAAACCCTGGGGCTGTGGAAGCTTCCAGAAATCTGATACCCTGATTGTAGACCATTAAAGAAATCACTTAAGTTAGTTTAACAAAGAGACTTTTAAAATCTTCTAAAAATTTCCATTCAAATGTATGGTACACATGTGAGTCCTTCAGAAGGGAGAATACAGTTTCTTGACACTTAACAGTCAAAGGTTTTATTGGCCGTATTAATTTTCCTCACAAGTTCTCAGAATGTTGAAGTAGAAGAGGAGAGAAACTGCCTACGTCGGGGGCGGGGACAGCAGCGTGGTGCCCAGGAGGGGTGGCCTCAGGCGCCCTTTTTCTCCAGCAGAATCCTGTGCAGCTCGTCGGCGTCCTCGCTGGTCTTGACCCGGATGAGCATGGTGACCGGGGAGGTGGTGTTCTTCTCGTCAACAGGCGGGTTGGGGACACATACTATGAGGACGTTGTTCTTCCCCGTCCGGGTGCACGGCATATTGGGCGCGACCAGAACATTGAGCAGAATGTTACCTACATTTAAACCAAGACACATTAAAACACATCCAGCTCCAGTAACCTCGTGGGAGGGAGTTCACTGCCAGCTCAAAGGCCGCAGTGTGAACCCAGCTACTGCCCTGCGGGACAGAGACGGGCAATCTCCTCTGGTGCATGCCACAGCCTTGGAGATCTGCGGGAGGGTCAGCTACGAGTCGGAGGCACATGACAACTACAGCTCCACAACATGGCCAATGGTCAAGACTGAAGACATTTATACTGAAAATGCTTACTACTGGAAGCCCAGGACTGGCAAAGGGAAGGAAGTTCCAGTTGTCAGTGTGGGGTGTGTGTAAGGAAGCCTCTGGCGGGTTCAGCTCTGGCTCTGCCTCTGCAGCGGACAGTATTGGGGTAGCACCACGTGGGGTGCACGCACGTAGGTGAACGGAGACAGGAGTGAGCGACTGCTTCAAGCACACTGGGTGTGTGTTAAGAAATTGTCTGATTTACCCACTGTCGCTTCTAAGACACGGAAATGAAGCCCATTTTAGAGGTTTCAAGAGACATTTTCTTACCCACTACCCCCCAGTATTCCAAAGGAAGTCCTTAATAAGTAACTAACACAGGACCCAAGTGCCCTGAAGGACGGAGCCTACTGTGTGTTCACATCCCACCACCCAAAACCAGCACTGTGCCTTTCACATGGTCGTGGTCACGTCACCCACCTAGATTGGTGTCTGCCCGCACTAGAAGCTGTGTCTTCTGGTTTGCTGTGGGCTTTAAGTGCAGGGTGCCGACGCCCTTCTCTTTAAATTCATTGTCTTTCTTGTAAAATAGTTTACACCTGTGGAAAGAAAACAACTGGTCTGACCAGGATCTTAGTGACAAGTCAGTTTTCTACCAACCATGCACACCTGGGTAGGGAAAAATCAGGATTCAACAGGGCCAGAGGAAGTCCCTGGAAGAGGCCGCCACGCCTGGTAAAACAGGGTCCCGGAGGAGGGAGGCCTCAGCTATGATGTGTTTTTGAAGAGCTGTGGCTGTGGGGCCGGGCAGGCTAAGGCCTCTTTCTGCAGCACACGTGGAAACCAACTCAGTGGCACTTAATGACAACAGAAGCAGCTTCAAGATCTAGTGTTCACCGCTGCAGAGGAATCACCACAAACCAGGAAGTGGTCTGGTTAGGGTGCAGGATGCCTCACTTTGCCAAACTAGGATTTTAGGAAATGTAAAGAAAAGACTCCTCCCTGCTCAACCTCACCCCCAGAGTTCACTTTTCTCTTGGAAACTCCCCCTCTTTCATTGTTGCATAATTCCCTCCCCCAGTCCACTTACTATGCAGCTCTTATTCTGGACTGTTGTCATGCAAATAATACCTACTCATATATTCCTTTTAAGCAGTTCTTTCCCTCATGTTTGAATGCAGTATACTTTCTAAAACAATCTTTTCTGAAGCAAGCAAAAAAACCTGCCTTCCTGACCTGAGCGCTCCTTCCCCTTTTCCTTATTTCTGAAAGTTTCTTCTGCTTTATAGTAAGTTTTTACTTGGAGGCAGATGGTTCATTTCCCTGCTTACTCCTGATACTCAAACTCAACCTAACAACCTACCACCCAGACAAGCCCAGATCCCAGGGACTGCACAGGGGAGGGGAGCAGGGCTGCCTCCAAGGCTGGAAGTCATAACTGAAGCAGAGGGGCGCCTCACTGTCACGAAGGGCAGGAGGAATTAGCACCAAGTATTCAATCCCAGGGCCTCCAGGGCTCCTCTGGGCGTAAGTGCTAGAGTCAGAGAAGATGTGCTCAGCGCAGGCTCTATGACACTGGCTGGTTTTCCAAGGAGGCCGAGGTTAGTTCATACTCCAGCTCCTCAGAGACCCTGGTGCCCCCAGGGCTGTGCGCAGGGGACTCACTTTTTAGAGTAGAAAGCATCTTCTTCTTTGACCTCGGTAACCACGACTTTGGGCGGCTCGTCACTCTCCTCCTCGTCTCCACCTTCAGAGAAACCACAATGGTGGTGAGACCATGAGGGCAAAAGGTGACCTGCAGAGCTCAGCTGAGGAAGCCCACACGAGCCCTCGCAGAAGCTTCCAGAGCACAATCTGAGTTTGACCTTTTTTGGGGGGTGGGGCTGGGGAAGGGAGGTGGACAGGATAGGATGAAGGTGAGAAGGAACTCCTTCTGGATTTTAATTTTTTTGTAAAAATAAAAATAATTTTTAAAGGCTGCATCCTTCTCAATCTTGTACCACGTCCTGGAATGGAGGTGAGCAGGCCATCTCTGGTCAGAGGACTTGCTGCACAACCCTGACACCTGAGAGGCCATGCAGGCACCTCTTCCTGGCTTATGCTCACGGGCTGGCAGGCAGCAGGTGTGAGCAATGGAAGGACCGAAGAGGAGCCCTGCGGATTGTCACACACGTGCTCACAGTCACCACCCCACTCACAGCTGGAGGATTCAGAGAAAACCATCAAAAGCAGACACTCTGCGGCCCAGGGTGCTGGTGAGGGAAGACAGAGCAGACCCGGGCATACCCTCCTCTCTCCAGGCTGTAATCTTCACAGGGAACCACTGACCTTCTGGTTAGCAGCTGGGTGCTCTACCCACAGCACCACATGGGCCCCTACAGCTCTCTTAAAGAGCACGGTGATACGGTGAACACCTCCATCAGTGAGCACCTGACCTGAGGGAGCCCACTCAGACGCAGCGACCACCATGAACCTCAGCCTCTCCATCTCTACTGTTACGGCATCAATCCATCTCTTTGAGGACCTTCCGCTATCTGAACCTCTACCTTTCCCTAAAACTCACATAGTTACAAAGCTGCCTCCCCCCCGCCCCCCAAGAAAACCCAATTCTGGTCTAAAACAACTCTGTCACCAGTCAGGTGTAAGGGCGGCTCTGCAGGTGAGCCTGAGTGGAGGTTTACTTTGGTGTGCCTATCAGGTTACAGAACCATGACAGACAGGCAGATAGACAGATGTCCCAGAGAAGGCTGTAGTCCTCAAGCATTGTGCTACAGTCTTCCCACGGGAGTGTCAAAGCGCCAGGTCCTGGGCCCAGACTTAATCCAAGAAATTAAATGTGCCCTGATCTCTAGTTGCAGTGGGAGGCTCACCAGAGGGCAGCTGCATCTGGATCAGTCAAACGCAGCCTCCTTTTCCACAAGCTCCAGCACCCGTCGTCTCGGCCACCCTGGAGTCGGCCTTACTAAGGGAGAAAAGGCCTCGGCTCCTGACTGAGGACCACTGACCACACCCAACTCTCTGCTGAGTCACCACGCTGTAAACCTGCCCTGTGGGAGACCGCTCATTTTCCTCCGTTAGTCCGGCTGGTGGATCTTTCGCGTTAGCTGCCATACAACATAGTACAGAGCTCTGGTGGCAAGGAGTTGACACAAGGCAAGTGATTCACTGCCTCTGAGGACCTGCTGGCGAGCAGCTACGGGTCAGTTCCAACTCCATGCCATGCAACAACACACAGTGCGCGCACCACCAGGACCACAGAGGATGCACTGGAGTCGGGTGATGAAGACAACTGGCCTTCCAGCTCCAGGGGACGTGTGATCTTCAGAGGCAACGGTGACAAATGTCCTTTTCAGCAATCAATGTGACCCCCTGTGCGGCTCAGGAGTGGTGGCTGGGGGCCCGACTTTCAGAAAAGCAGGGCAGCAGGCACCAGGACCACGGGCCTCGCAGGCCCAGCACGATGAAGAGAACGCAAATGCGCAAGACCAAGCCAGGATTTTAAGTCACTACATCATACGTCACAGGCAAAGCCACAACCACCAGGATAGAGATTTTTATATTCTTAATTTTCTCAAACACCTTGCAAAACAGATCTCATTTCTGGTTTTCAAACATGAAACCTGAGGCCCCGAGGAGCTACGCTGTGAGCAGCAGTGCCGGAGCCTGGACAGGAAGGAAGCTGTCCCCGTCGAGCCTGCGCCCCCCCAACCCCACCCCGCTGGGCCCGCGTCCCACTACGCACACCGAGGCAGCGGAACCCGCTTACCTTTGCTCTCACTGCTGCCAGGCTCCGTGCGGCTCTCCGGGGGTTTGGTGGTAAATGGTGAAGAGGCCGCTTTGCTGGGGGCAGTGTCTCTGCCCAACAGGCTGGTGTTTCCAGAGGGGAATGAGAACCCGCTCAGGGGCCCTGCGCTCAGTGAGCCCAGGACGGCACTGTCGATTTTCTTGCCGAAGTTGAACGAGGCACCCGTTGCTCCTGAGGGTGGGTCTGGCTTCTGCTCAGCCACCGCCTCGGCTTTGCCGCCATGAAACAGAAACGTTGACTCTTGCTGCGATTTTGTCGAACTGAACAGAGATGGCTGGGCCTCACCCAACATCTTGCCAGTGTCCCTTTCCGAGTTACTGTCCCCGTGCTGCCGCTCGATATTTGCTAAATATTCCTCGTACTCTTTGAAGATAGGAGTCAGATCACAGAGCGCGTTTCTGTTCACGTGCTTGACAATCCAATCTCGGACCGAGCAGTTTAGGGCTGCTAACTGCCTGTGGTAGGCGCTCCTGTAGCAAGTGGCCTTGGCTGCCAAGCAGGGTGGCTGCTGACTGCTGCCGTTGGTGCTGGGAGCGGAAGGCTTGTTCTCGGCCAAGGAGGCAGGACCATTTGCAGTAACGGGACCTAGAGGAAATGCAAGTCGTAAGTACTCACAAGCTGGTACGACCTTGTTAACTGCTCTTATGTGCAGTCAAGCTGGAACCAACTCAAAGCTGACCTTCCAGAGGGTTTTCAGAAGCTGTAGAATGGCACAGGAAGCCGCCCAGCTTTCTCCTGAGCAGCAGCTGCTGGATCCCGATTGCGTGCCTTTTGCGATGGCAGCACACCCTCACCCTACACCCTCACCCTTCCTCCAGAACTTCACATTTCCTGTTTGACTGTTCAGGTACGTGCCCAGCCACCATTCAGGAACAGGACAGCATAGAGATGACCATGCCTGCAGGAGGCCTAACAATTTAACAAGACGGTCTGCTTCCGAGATGATGGCATTTACAAGCAGGACAGCCCGCATCACAAGTGCTGGTCCTGTGAGGCCCACTGCGGACGGCACGCCTTTCTCTGGAGAGGCCTGGGGGCGCACGTCACATCCCACCTTTTTGGTCAGCAGTCAAGCGTGCTGGTCCATTTATACCACACCAGGGACTCCTGACTAAGTACAAAAGTCAATACTTAGGGAACACAAACAATAAAACTTTATCAGAAAAGTGCTCCAGTTACACTAAATAAAAAATTGAACAGTATACTGTTACAAAGTAGCTAAATATATCCTTCTCTGTTCCAAATCTCAAGACACCATGAGTCTCAGGACAGGAGGTGGGCGGCCTCGGAAAGATAAACGATGCAGGAAGGAAGCCTTTACAGGGCAGAGGAGCTGGAGAAGCTGGAGGCTCAGCGGTCAAGGGCATTGCCACGGTCACAGACTGGGGCTTGGTGGGCTGAGCACAGCAGTGGGTCTGTCCTGGCCAAGCCCCTGAGCCCTCGCCAGTCTCCCGCACCCCCTGGGTGTTCAAAGGCCCTGTGCCAGGTGAGTGTAAGAAAGGCATCTACCTGTGCAGACAGGCCTTTCGTAGGGGTCACTCTGGGGGGCGGGGGGAACGACAACACAGGATGGGACAGACAACTCACCAAAAGCAGCCTTGGTCTCCACTGCTGCCTTAGTGCTGGTGAAGGCAGGAGCACTGGTGACACTAGTTCCATTGGACAGTCCTAAAGGCTTCACTCCCACGACATTCCCGAACCCAGAAAACCCACCTCCTCCTCCAGAAGGCGCAACCAGGCCTTTAAAACCTTTAAAAGCTCCGCCACTATCAGGCTGAAAGAGAAATAAAGGGAACATGTTAGCAAGCCACAGGCACGTTTAAAACACAAAAATAAAAGGACAATGTTGTAAAATCCCAGTACCCACTACCTAGCCTCAGGAAAAGAATAAAAATGATGAAAAATGCACTTTAGCACCCCAAAAGGAAAGATTTCTCATTCACTACTCAGAGATTATCTGAATAGGATAATTCAGACCTCAAAGTCTAAGTGTGTGCGCCCCACACACATGTCATTTTTAAAACACTTCCTTGTATTTCAACCCACAAACATCTGACTATCTGACTTGGGATGCGTCCCTAATTGGCTGAGAAATCAGTAGGTGACATCTCAGGATCCTTACACCAGATTTCTTTAGCAAGGTCATTCTGCTGGGCCATCTGTCCTTGCTCCGAGCTCATCCACATCTTTAAGCCAAGCAATTCAGCATTCCTGGTGAAATTTCTATAGAAAGGGCCTTCAGTTTCCTGGATCCAACTGAAACGCCTACAAACAAGTCTTAAGACGCTGTTCTCTTAAGTAGCACTTAAAAGCACCAAGGGGATGACTGGTTTGGGATCTAACGTGCCAAGACTTGCTTCAGGAAGTTTTCCCAACAACTCAGGAGAAAGATGAAGGCTCCCACCCAGGTGGGTCACAGCCACGACTCCCCGGAGGTGACAAATGACAACTGCCCTGCTTACGTGGGCTGGTTGGCGACTCTTAGCGCACAGTCCATCACACACAGATACTCACTGACATCTTCAGCACCTTAGGGGTTTTCCTGACCAGATGCTCAAGACAGTGGCTGAGAACGTCAGACCTTAACATGTGTGGATTTTAATATATGTCATTAATACAAGCTAGGTGCCGAGGTCCTCAATGTCTTTGATTTTTAGTTACCAAACCCCCAGAGACAACAGACCAAGACGCCTGCTGTTGGAGAGCAATGGTGACAGACGAGCTGTGAGGGGCTCTGTTGGGGCCTCAATTCATCCCAGACTGTCAAGCCATGAGCCAGGAACAGTTATTGTGGAAACTGAGCCTCTCAGGCTCTAGAATCATCACAAAAAAGGGCAGACTACTGGTTTTAAGAGTACAGAATGAACCATTTCCCTGTAGGATGCTCAGGCAGCAGGACTGAGTCACAGAGTTCTTCGGGGAGTGGTCAAAGCCTCTCCCCCCACCCCGCTCCCTCACTCCCAGGTGTAGAGAGAAGCTGAGATTATACTCTCCTTTCTCTTACTCCTGCTGACGTACTTCTCTGGCTTTTTATACCCTCAGCCAGATAGACTGACACAATATCTGCAGCAATGGGTTCAAGTGTGTCAGAGAGGGTTAGGATGGATAGAGTTCGGACCTATTGTTCATAGGGTTGCATTCAACTCAATGGCACTTAACAACAATATCAACAACATACTTCTTTCTTCGCTATATATTAGCCAATTTGAATCTGGTATCTTTTCCTCAGCTGAAGTAGACTGTCCACTACAGTGGACACAGTGCAGCCTCCTCCCAGGCCCTCAGCAGGGGGTTTCACAAGCAGGAAGCATCTCTGAAGTCTCTGTGAAACTCACAGGTTCTGGAATAGTTTCCATCTTTGAAATTACAGCAGTAAAGGAAACACTCACCTCAAGTCCAACGTTTCTACGTTTTGCCTTTTTTATGGCTCTATTCTTCAAGACTTCCTCACTGGCCACAGAGAACGTCCCCACCTGCAAGAGTGCAAACATCAAAGAGTAAGACATGGCAAAAGTGAATGAACGCACACCTCCCAGACATATCTAACAGCTGATTCTCACTGTCCATGTGCCATGAATCACACACCGTTGGTGCAATCTACTTACTACTTATCTTGTGAGTTCTGATTTTAAGGAGGCACATTGGAAATGCTCTTGAACACAAACCCAAGCTTCCCAGCTCAGTGCACGTGCACAGAGAAGAATGTGGGCACACATGCCAGAAATGGAAAAGACTAAGATGGAAAAGTGTTAATAACAAGTACTTTGCATTAAATTTTGGACACATTCTGATATTAATAAAATCTAAAATGAAAATTCAGTTTTAACAAGCAAATTCTTCTATTCAGAAGCTGGAGGGTTAGACCTTAGTGATTATAATTGGACTGAAGTCAAGAAAGTAAGCTAGTGCAGTGGGTAAAATGTGCTGTCAAGTGCCTCTTTAAAATGCTAACGAACAGGACGTCAATTTAAAGACTCTGGTGTGCTTGACCTAAGTCATGCTATTTTCCATTGTCTCATCTGCATGTGAAAGTTGGCAATGAATAAAGAGTACCTGGGAATTTTGGTCACGATGAAGACTACTAGACTGCCAAACCACAAACAAATCTGCAATGAGGGTTGTAGAGTGGATTATATTTGGGGGTAGGGGGTGGGGTTTGGGGAGGTGCAGGGGGGATTGTGTACCAATGAGGGAGTTTTTCTTTTGCTTTTCAAGGAGAGGAGCAAAGGGGCGGGGGAGGGGTTTGTGCAGGGAGAAGGGTGCAACAATGAATGAATGGAATCCCAAAATCTCTGTAGATGTTCATGGAAATGAAAAATAAACAACCTAAATTAAAAACAAACAAACAAAAAAACAAATCTGTTTTGTAAAAAGTGCTGCCTTGGAGGCAAGTACAGCAAGACCATCTCACATACCTGGGGCCCTGTCTTCACTATCTAAAGCTGCTGTGCCAGAGATTCTGGACCTAACAAGTGGAAGGCCTTAACAAATAGAAACGTATTCTCTTACAGTTCCGGAGGCTAGGAGTCCAAACGGAGAATTTCAGCTCTGGAGGAAAGTTCTTGTGTTCCTTAAAGATCTGTGTGTCCCAGTGGTAAGGAGCTTCCTGTGCAGGGTTCTGCACTCTACTCCTGGCCATCCTCAGATGGTACTGCCTGTCCCAACCCCAGCTCACCTTCCTTCCTTTCAATCTCTAGTGAGATGGAAGCTATTACAAGGCACCCTTAGGGGGTCCCCTTATATTGGGTGATGGGAGTAATGGTGGTGGTGCATTCCACACTTTATCCCTTTAGGATTGTGCTGTTGTGTACCAGAGTCGGGAACTGACCCACAGCTGACCTCTGGTGGGTTTTCAGAGGCAGTTAATCACATGGGAGGAGACTGCCCCATCCTGCTCCTATGGAGCAACTGGAGGCCTTGAACCACATGCCTTTGGGATTGCAGTGCAGCTTCCTATCACTAGGCCACCAGAGCTCCCTTTCAGAAGGATTAAGGAGAAGGCATTCCATAGCTACATCTGATCATTACATACATGTGTTTGGGGGAGCACAATTCAGTCCATGGCTGGTCAGTCCCTGGAGAAAGACACATCATGCTTGGTAAAACCGAGGGGCCGGTGAGGAAAGGAACCCCTCAATGCAATGGACTGACAGTGACCACAACAATGGGCTTACGCACAGCAGTAAGCCATTTTGTAAGGTGACTACCACAGCAGGTTGTTCTGACATCCAAGTGCTCCAAACAAGTAATTACGACTCAATTTTCAAAAAAACACATTTGAGATAATCTACTACTTACTTCTGGTCATGGTGAATCGGAGCTATCCCTAAGAGCGACAAGCAGGGTCATCCGGGCACACTTGCCCAGGTCAGAACTCTCTTCCACTCCCTTCAGTAGAGACCAACACAGGAGCTCTTTCACTTTTGAAATCTCTTAATGCCAAGTGACCACCATAGTCTAGCTCTTGATAGCACCTAACAACTGATCTTAATGGAACAGTATTGAGACTTAGAAAAACGATCCGCAGCCAAAAAGCACCATGCCTGTGAGAAATGCTAACAGCTCGGGCAACACGTTAACAAATTTCTGGTTTAGTGGGAACCTGCTGTGGCGGTCTAGTCTGTGAAGATGTAAGCTGAAGGCTGCGTCTCTCTGGCAGTTCAAATCCCCAACGGTTCTAATGGAGAAAGGTGAGCAGCCTTTCCCATGTGATTTAGTCTCAGAAACCCAATCAAGGGTCAGCTCTGCGTTGGATCCAACTCAGCAGCAGTAGGTTTCAGGGTGTTGGGTTTTTTTTGTGTGTGTAAGAGGCACCAGTCCATATAAATCTTAAAGGCAAACCTCTTACAAACACGCATAGCTGAACTCCCACAGAATGCTAGGTCAAGGCAAAAGACTGTGTGGCTCAGAAAATGTGTGACATCGTCTAGGTCTGCTTCAGCTTATCCTTAAGGCAGCTCCGACAAGCTGTGCACCTCAGCAGGGCTCCTAGAAAGGAATTCGCTTGTTCCCCACCGCTGTCAAGTCCCTCCTGTAACGATGGCCCCTCCTACATGTCTGTCTGCCTTGTACTGGGGCTGACCTTAGACAGTAACATGCCTGCCTCACAAACAATTAATACCCTTTACCAATTTTCCACCTTTGTGTTATTTGATTTCAATTCCAAATCAACACTACTCTTTAGTCTCTTGCTGCTGCAATCTCAAACACCAGTTTTGTGACATTTGAGAGTCATGACACATTTCATTTTTAGGAGATAAATGAAAAGATACTGTTACAACACTCAAGATGTGTGGTACGTGACACTGAATGTTGCTGCCACAAGTTGAAGCATGCAGTCAGAAGCTGACCTTTTTTTAGGGAAAAAATATAGTACAGGTAGAAATGAGAGATATGAAGCTGTCATGACTATCAATATGTATGTTTTGAAGGTTTTTTCCCCCATAACTGAAATGTTACTTTTTGTATAAAGTGGTGGTCTCTTTTCTTGTCATGTAGGTGTCTTGGCTAAGGTATCCAAGGATGACCCCTTAGTCCAACTCAATGAAGCCCACAGCCTTGATGTATTGATGGAAACACTGGGGGAGTCACACCGAGTCCTTATTTCCACTTCTCTGTGCTGGCCTGAGCACACACAGCAAGAACGGGTTCAAATCCACCAGCTGCTCCCCAAGCAAGATGGGCAGTTTCCTCCCTTATATAGCTTCTGAAAACCCACTGAGGGTCAGCTCCAGCTTGACAGCACATTACAAAAACACACAGGACATAAAGTTGTTCAAGGAAGAGAGTTTGTGTTTTGTCGGAAAATGAAGCCAATCCAAGGAGGTACAGTATTGAAATCGTTTTCCCATGAACCCACCACCACTGAAGGTCTTGTATCCAGTGAGCAGACTTTTAAAACAAGAATAAGGCAGGGCAGTGAACTCAGCCTTGTAAAATCGCAAATCTTGAGTGTGCCAGACCAGGATGGTGCTGGCAGACTACTTTTCCTGTCTGGATAAACTTCAATGAGCAGATTAAAACCGTACACCATCTGCAGTGACTCAGTCCAAACCCTGGATTTAGAACGTGGCAAGTTTACGAAATTCAGGAGGAAGCTACTTCTAGGAAGGGGCAGAAAAGTTAAGGAATCAGTGTTAGCAGAAAAGTTCACCCAAGTATGGGTCATAAGGAATCAGAGGGCTTACTGCTCAGGAAGAAAAAAAAAAAAATTAAAAAAAGGCCTTTTAATTTGTACCATAAAGATGCCATGAGGAACCTCAAGGTGAATCTTAATTTAGCAGCTGTGGAGTTTATCTTTCAGTATGACTTTTCTATTGTTTCACTTTGCCATGTAGATGGAGACTGGCCAGTCACAACAATCTACAAGGGAACTGCTTAGTTTTGCCAAGAAATTGAACAGCTCTGGCCAGAGACAGATCCTCTGGCAACAACAAAGAGAAAGCAAGGCAATGTAAGACGTCCTTCCTGCTCCAGGCAGTTAAACCTACGACCAAACTGGAGACCTGACCTGAGACTAGAGTCGGGGGTCAGGGGTAAAATGGGGAAGTGAATACCAGCAGGATGGAAAACTGGAGGGTGGAAAGCCAACACTGATAGGAATGAGAACAACTTCGGAACACCAAGCTGCGAGGCTTGAAGCTGAGGTGCCTGCGTGCATGTTCTGGGAGCTGTCTTGACTGTATCCTACTATTAATCTGGATTATAACCTGACTTCTCCAATATGGTCTGAGAACGAATGCACTGAATCTTGCACTCAGCAACGGAGTAAGATTGGTGCTGACGATGAGCAGAAAGAGGTGTGGAGCGTGAGGGTCATGTCTGATCTAATGGGAAATGGCTGTGTGATGCTGACGCTGGGGATGTGTATGCTGGGATAGTGCCCGTTGGGAAGTTGGTCAAGATGAGATAGCTGTCCACACGCAGCCTTGCTCTTGTGAAGCTGTAAAGGCAGCATAAGATCATTTTTTTTGAAACTACTTTTTACCTCTTCTGCTTCATCTTCTTGATCCCAATTCCTGTCTGTCAACTCCTTCTCGGCAATTCTTTTGGCCATTTTTCCAACCCTAAATTACAGAAAACAGAAGCAAACAATTTATTTTATGTTCACCATGACATGAAAGGAGAAAAAAAAAATCCCCAATTCCAGTGGAAAGTGCTTAAAAACCTCATACAAGGGACACATGGTTTCTGGCATCAGAACACATTAAGGGGTGAGATCAGGCAGTGGTGGAAAGCATTGAGGAACTCAATCGGCACACTACTAGGAAAAATGGACGCAAAATACTGACATTTTCAAGTCCAGATAAGTAGGATGCTCTGGTAGCCTAGTCCTTACGGAACTGTGCTGCCAACCCAAAGGCCATGACTCTGGCAGTTCAAATCTAGCAGCTGCTCCACGGGAGAAAGCTGGGCGACTTCCCCCCTTTTTGATTTACAGCCTCGCACACCTAGTGGAGAATCAGATGAGTTGATTCCAACTCAACTGTGATGAGCTGAGAATCTTTTGTACAGAATCGACAAGTCCTCATCCAACATCTTCTAAGTTTACTTCTACCCTGATAAACAAAAATACTTTTAATATGAAATATTATTCTCTTTAAAGAAGTTTACCCTTAAGTGTGAAGTGTACCCTTAGGTAAGAACTTTTAAGAAGATAGTGCCAGGATCTTCACATGAATAGATATCTTTTGGGCTAAAGTGAGAAAGATGGGACAAATTATGTATACTGCATTGAAACAGAGGGATTTAACTGTTTAAAAGGGATTATGATTAGGTATTATTGTCATGACCAGAGTCTAGAACGGAAGGCTGCATAGTGGAGTGGACCTGGGGGAGGTATTGTATAACAATGAAAGAATTTTACTTTTCAAAGAGAGAAGTGAACTGGGGGGAAGGGTTGGCATGGAGAAAAGTTTAACAATGAATGAATGGAAATCCAAAGTCTCTATAAACTTTAACTGAAATAATAATGAATAAAAAAAATTAGCCCTTTCTATGTTCTTAGACAACATCCAGGTACATAGCCATCCTTACCCTCTGCTTCTCCACACCTTATAATGGAGGATGATGACAAGGACGGGAAGACATTCCTGAAATACTAACTTCGGCCCACAATTTTAACTTGGTACTCTGGACCTGCTTTTAGACTGGAAAAATGTAAAAAAGGAGCTGCGGCTTTCTAAATAGGTATCTCTCATATCTATAAAATGGAAACGCTCGTGTTTTCTAACTCATCTAAAATCTGATGCCCCACAGAACGGTTCTCAACTTCTAACAACATTCTAATGACACCTGAAGCTCAGTGTGAGCTCTGGTGAGCAGACAGCAGGCGGCTGTACTGCTAAACTGAAGGGGCACTTCTCTGCCCATCTGAATCTACCCTGACTGAGAGAAAGAGGAGCCATTTGTTCCGCTGTGATTTACAGCCTCCTGCAAACTCACTGGTGGGCAGACTGCCCAGAGAACAGAGATCTGCCCTAGAGAGGGTGAAAGCAAGATCCTCCATGGAGGCTGGGATTTCATCTCACATACTGTGGGGTCTGAGGCCTGGAGGGACTGATCCTTGCAGAAGGACATCAAACTTGGAAGGGTGGGGACAGCCCAGGAGAGGAAGACCCCGGATGAGATGGACACAGGAACTGGGGCGATGGGGTGGGGGTGTCGGGTCAGGTACACTGGCTCAGGACAGGGCAGGGTTCAGAGCTGCTGTGCACAGGGTCACTGTGAGCTGCAGGCCACTGGTCAGTATAGACCACCTCCACCACGACCACAACCACAACCACCACATTTTATTCCAAATCAGGGACATCCTGGACCATAAAGGTTTTTTAAGCGAGTCCCTGGGAAGTTACTATAACGACAGGGAAAGGCCTGCGCGCAGGAGTATACGAAGGCCCCGGGTTATGAATCGACTCCAGGAGGAAGTGACGCGCGGGTGCTGAACGGCGGGAGGGCAGCGTCCACGCCCCGCCGACGGGTGGAAGAGGTCTCTACGGCCCGCGGCCCTGCCCCCGGGGGCTGGACTCCCGGATGGACGTGCGGGTCCTCGGCCGGACTCCAGCCGCGTGCGGCGGGAGAAAGGCCTGGTGGTCCGCCTGTCCACAGCCCGGCTGGCCCCTAGCGCATGGGAACGGACCGCCCCACCTGACCGGCCATCAGAGGCCGTCCGTCGCGCAGGACGGTGCCCATCAGCCCGGGAACGCTGGGCTCCCCCAGTCCTCCTCCCGGGGAGCGCGATCGGGGCCGGCAGAACACCCCAGGGGCGCCCGCGGACAGCGGGAAGGACGCGGCGGCCACGCGGGGGGCGAGCCCCGAGGGAGACGCGCCGCCCGGGCCGCAGGGGTACAGCGATCGGGCCGGGATGGAGCCCCCGGGGAACGGCCATCGGGGCCGGGAGAAGGGAACCGGGATGGAGCCTCCGGGGGAAGGGCGATCGGGGCCGGGAGGAGGGAGCCGGGGGCGGGATGGAACCTGGCCGGGGCCGCCGGGGCAAGGGCGATCGGGATGGAGCCCCGTGGGAAGGGCGATCGGGATGGAGCCCCGGGGGAAGGGACCTGGGGCCGGGCTGAGGACCCATCGGGGGAAGGGTGATGGGGACCGGGATGGAGCCCTCGGAGGAACGGCCATCGGGGCCGGGAGAAGAGCCGGGAGTCGGGGCCGGGAAGAGGGAGCCGGGGCCGGGAAAGGGGAACCGGGGCCCCCGGGGGAACGGCGATCGGGGGAGAGGAGCTGGGAGGAGGGAGCCGGGCCGGGAGAGGAGCTGGGATGGAGCCCCCGGGGGAACGGCGATCGGGGCCGGGAGGGGAGCCGGGATGGAGCCGCAGGAGGCCCCTCGCAGGCCGGCTCGGCCCGGCCGCCCACCGCCTACCTCCTCCGAGCCGCAGACGCCCCGCGCCCCCTCCCGGTGACCGGCCCCGGACCCCGCGCCCACCGCCCGGCTCACAAACGGCCGCTGTCCCCGCCCCGCCCTCGGCGAACTCACCTCACGGGGTCCGGAGCGCGCGGTTCCGCCCGGGTCCGTCCGATTCCGCGGGGTCCGCCGGCCAGGCGCGCTCAGTCAACCAGCGCCTCGAGGAGCTCGCTGAGGGGCCGGCCCGCAGTCCCCAACACCATGGCCTGCGGGGGCCGCGTCTCTGCGTCCAGGAAAGAAGGAGAGGTGTGTCTGCTCAGCTACAGGCCACAGGCAACAGCATTTCAGTCGCTCAAGGCCGCCATCTTACACCTCGAACCTTCCCCCTCACAACCGATTCGAAAAATAAGAGAGGAGCGCCCGCCTCCGCTCACTGCGCAAGCACCGCAGAGCCTCGGGGCCGTGACGTCATGGCGCGCATGCGCAGCACGGCGGGACGCCGTTGGTGGGAAGAGCGTGGCCCTCGCGGGGAGGAGGCGCGGGTTCGCCGCACGCATGCGCACATCCGCGCGCATGCGCACTCTGACACCGCCGGGGGGGGGTGGGGCTGGTTCCGCAGTCGCCAGTTACGTTCAGGCACACTGGTCACGTGAGCGCACCGCTGGGCGTTTGATGGGTTTTGGCGCGAGGACCTGCTTTAAAAGTCCAAGACGGATTGTGGGTAGAAGCTTAGGGTTACGGTGTTGTCGTTTGTGTCTCCGTTTGTGTTGGCGTTGAAATACTGCGGACATGGGGCCGCGTCGTCGTCGTCGGGGCCGCAGCCGCGTGGTCGTAGCTATGTCCGCGGAGTGGGAAGCCGGCCAGTCCGGGAACAGGAAGTCCTTCAAGCTTCTAGGAATTTTAGACGTCCAGAACATTCCCTGTGCACGTGACTCAGTACTATATGGTTCGTTAGGATCTGTTGTGGCCGGCCTTGGACATTTTTTATTAACGAGTATAATTGTGCAAAACTAAGAATCCAGGAAAGAATTACCAGAGAAGGTATTAAAAATAAGATTTTATATGAAAGCACCCACCTTGATCCTGAAAGGAAAACCAAGAACAGCACAACAGCTGAGGAGCCATAAGCAGAGATCATCAATACAGCTCTCAGACCAGCGGACAGAGCCGAGATCAAGTGCACAAATCACCCAATTATGTACAAAGGAAATGAAGCCATCTTCACTTCTATCAGTACCTGTCAGTTATTCTGGTGGCTGTGTACGTGTTATGTGCCTCACTTTCTGAGAAAGTAAATTTAATTTACTGGCAGTGTGCGCTAAGAATAAAACTGTAAAATCTAAAAAAAAAAAAAATAAATACTGCGGACAAAATGCCGGAGCGAGACAGCGAGCCATTCTCCAACCATTTAGCCCCAGATGGCCATGATGATCCTCATTCCTTCCACCAATCAAAACACACCAATGAAGACTTCAGGAAACTTCTCATGACCCCAAGGGCTGCACCCACCTCTGCACCACCTTCTAAGTCATGTCACCATGAGAAGCCAAGAGAATACAATGAGGATGAAGACCCAGCTGCACGAAGGAGGAAAAACAAAAGTCATTATGCCAAGCTACGCCAACAAGAAATTGAACAAGAGCGAGAATTAGCTGAGAAATACCAGGACAGTGCCAAAGAACGGCAAGATGGTGTGAACAAAGATTATGAGGAAACAGAACTGATCAGTACTACTGCTAACTACAGGGCTGTGGGCCCCACTGCTGAGGCAGATAAATCAGCTGCAGAGAAGACAACTGATTCAGGAGACCAAGTTCTTGGGTGGTGATATGGAGCACACCCATTTGGTGAAAGGCTAGGATTTTGCTCGTCTTCAGAAGGTACGAGCTGAGATTGCCAGCAAAGAGAAGGAGGAGGAGGAACTGATGGAAAAGCCCCAGAAGGAAACCAAAAAAGATGAAGACCCTGAAAATAAGATTGAATTTAAAACACGTCTAGGCCTTAATGTTTACCGCATGCTCTTCAAAAGCAAAGCATATGAGCGGAATGAGCTATTCTTGCCTGGCCGCATGGCTTATGTGGTAGACCTGGATGATGAATATGCTGAAACAGATATCCCCACCACCCTTATCCGAAGCAAGGCTGATTGTCCTACCATGGAGGCTCAGACCACTCTAACTACAAATGACATCAGCAGCAGCAAG